ATATATATATATATATATATATATCAATTTCTCTAACTTTTGTCTCGTTTATTAGAATCAATTTGAGAAACCTTGCTTCTCGGCTATTCTTCTCGATCTCACCTTCCGCCTAATTTTATTCACCCGTTAAACGTGATTCTTTTCAGAAATCAACGAACATTTTTCGCAGATGACATTTACAGCCGATTGAACGATGTCGCGGCTGAACTGTACATTTTACCGAACGGCTTGACAGTCAACTCTATCGCGGGCCCATGGACTAATCGTGATAGAGTACCATTGGTCACTGTCATTCGCGAATATGAAACTCAAACAATTATGCTTAGCCAAGTATGTATACCCAAGTACACGTTACGTATTCGTGATCTTACTGAGTAGAAGCACTGTTCACCTCCTCAGGGACGGGAAAAATCCTAACGATAGCATGATTTTTCCCACGGATAATGCATCAATGAGGAGGAAACGAGGTGCTGAATTTACTTCTAAGCACTTTGAATAAAGTCGATTCTGCTCGATTGCATAAGTAGCAAGAATCTGTGCGAGTAGAGATTGGTCGAAACCGAGAGAAAGAACGTACATACATAATAATTGTCGTAAATATAAGTTAAAATATTAATGTCACTATGTATTGTTTAGTGGTATTTATAAAGAAGAAAAAAATTAAAGATTAAATATGAAAGAGGATCTTTCTCATCCTACATCAATTTCATTGCAATTTTACAAGATATATTTGTAATTACGATTCTACAGAATAACTGATAATAAAGAAAAAGAAACTGAGTAGTTAAAAATCAAATATCTGTAAAAGGAACTTTCTCATATTATACCGGTTTTATTCCAATTTTAGAGAATAATAGGAGTTGTCACGAATGTTCGTGATATTATTTTTTATTTTCATTAAAGTGTAATTTATTATAATTTTTAACTCACAATCAGACATATAAGTCGAAATCCGATCGTATGTTATATTTTCTGTTTTAAAACTAGTAGTTTGAGATCACAGTTTCTTCGTTAGAATTTTTCTAAACTTACTGTTGAGTAAAAAAATTATCTTTCGTATAAACGTGGATATATAATTTAAACCGGATATTTGTCGGATAAACGTAGCAACACGATGAGAAAGACTCTGCCCTTGAAGATGGAAAAAATACCGCCCCATCTTCGAGAGAAACCATTTAAGTAATCTTAGTGATGTAACGAAATAAAAACTTTAGAACTTTTCCTCTGAAATGCATTTATATACTATTGTGAGTAATTATCAGCTACATTATGTATGTACATATCTTAGAGCCTGAGATTACATCGTTAACACAGAAATAGCAAGGTGAATAATCATAGCACACAGTATACAATCATTCATGAAAGTATTTGAACTCCTGCAAGTAGTAGAAACTTTATTTATATATTATGTAAAATTCTATTAACACTATAATGTAACATGAATCTCGTAATTACATTGATGAAATTCGAATATATATAGAGATACTTATTGCAAACATAATCTAGTAAGAGATATTTATTGCAAACATATATCTAGTAAAAAAAATTAGTATGCAGTAATCTTAATATAGCCAATCTTGTATAGTTAAATATATGATAACTGTATATTAATATGTATATGAGATTATTTATGTGCAAATATCATAGCTCTATACCTACATTAACTTATTGTTAGTATATATAGCATACTTAATTTAATATAATGAGTTACCATATAATACGTGTTACAAATGATCTCACTCAGACTTATTGATATAAAAGATTATATTTGTTTAAACGTTTATGACCTCTGAGAAATATGCAATATACTAGTATTAAATATCTTTTAATTTCCAATATACATTTTTCAGATTTGTTTTAAATTTTACTAATACAGTCGTACTTCGTTACAAGTTAATGAAACTTCAAAATGTTTTCAAAATAGCACATATAATGATGTTTATTAAAAATTACTATGAGCGTTTGAATGCCTTTATGAGTGATTTAGACGTGAAAATAATATCAAGAATAATTGTTTGACTTTTCTCTGACAACAAGTACAATCTGTATACGAGAACTATTATTATATAACTAAGCAGAATTCTTTGTCGTTAAACTAAATTATTTCTTGTAATTTAGTATTATAAGAAGGTAAACGAATTCGAAGATTGAAAAATATAAATTCACAGAAAAATCTGCAGTCTAATCTTAACACAGATTAAAATCTACACATTTCAAATAATATTGTAATAATTAATATTATTAATACTATTTAATACATGACTTTCCCCTAATAATTATCGCTCCGTAGTTTTCTACAACTTCAAAGAGTAAATGGAATAATGTAATTAATTGAATTAAATTAAATGGTTTGCGTTATTCTATGTTTGCAGAAAGTCTACCTCAGGGAAGCTGCACGAGCCTCCGCCCCTAAAGTTTCTTATGAATGGGATATACCGATAGTGATGATGTCCCAAGAAACATTGGAATTTGAAGCACCTTGTCACCTATGGTTGACAAAAGGAATTAAAACGAATAATTTGACAGATATGGCTAACGAAAATCAGTTTATCATTGTCAATCCGGAGGAAATAGGTATGAAAATTACAACTAACAGAAAGCATTATTTTATACTACCAAAGTTTAAATGCCAGAACGAAATATCTTTTATATTAGATAAATTACCAAAAATTTATATTAATAAACGATTCCTTCTTCAAAACTATCTTAATATCGGTAATCTTACGATGTACAACCGTTGTGTGCTGAGAGAAGTGCAAAATTATATTTTTCAAAGCTTTATTAAGAATCTAAGCGAGATTAAACACACGTAAAAAAAAATATTATTTTCATTGTTCCTTAGAATCTTCTACAACTGATTTACAATAGTATGTAAGATAATATATATTTAATATTGGGAATTTAATTGCTAAACTTATAGTTTTAATTGCAGTCTTAGGTTGTAGTTTAATTCTAAACAACAGGTCAGAGATTAGAGAAAAACTTAACCATTTAAAAGTTTAAACGTTTTCGAAAGATTCAAACATTGGGAAAAATCGAATGGATATCGAACGCGTTGGAATGAAAGAATATAAGAATGTATAGTGTACAAGGAGGATGCATGACATGGGAGAGCAGAGAATTTTTCAAACTGTCTAGTATCGTTAAGTTTTTAATACAATTAAAAGATTTCTTCTTAGTAGTTTCATTAGCACAATTTGAATTATACATCACTGTATGGAACTATTGAAAAGAGCTTGAGCATCCGAAACTTTCTGTATCTAATAGTGCAATTTCAGTAATTTAACTATAATTTACTATAGTTATATATAATATCCAACAGTACTATTTAAGATTAATTAAATACAGGTATGTTCCCGGTAAACTACGACTCCTGCAACTGGAAAATGTTATCGCAATATTTACAAGGACCAGACCGAGAAAAGATTCCCGTTTTAACCAGAGCAAAACTCCTTCACGATTCTTGGAATTTAGCATATTCCGGAGAATTATGCTTCGGAATTGCATTAAATATGACTCTGTTTTTAAAAGAAGAAAGAAGTCACGTCGTATGGGAACCAGTCTTTATGATGATCGATCACATCGGTAGACGTATCGAAGGTTCCGATGTGTACCCGAAATTTGAGGTGAATATTTTCTATGATATACATTGATATGCGTTTTGTTTTTCAAAAATCATACATTTTTTTAATAGTTAAAATAAATGTTTTTAAGTTAGTTTAAAATTTAATCTTAAAAATTTCCCAATCAAAAAAACGTGCAAATATGGTTCGTTATGATTTGTTATTTTTCATTAAATTTTTACGTTTACTATGCGAAGCAAATTAGTACAAAATTTGAATATTACTCAAATTTATGAACCAATGAGATTTATTATTATTTCAGGCATATATACGCACCTTGTTGAAACCTCTATACGAAGAACTTAATAAAACTATGGAACAGAACGAACCATCTTGGAAAACTCACATGCGAGGAATGGCGAAAACTTTCCTTTGTCGTGCTGGATATGAACCATGTGTTAACGAAGCAAGGGATCAGTACAAAAAGTGGTTGACGGATAAGGAACCAGATAAAGGAAATCCGTTCGTAACTTTCTTACTCTCACCTCTATTTGTAAAAATTTACATTTATGAAAGTCATAGTTACTTTAATTTATATTTATAAAAATGCATATTTATAAAAATTATAGTTAGTTCAATTGTATCAAAATATATCAGAACATTGTTATCAGTGTTTTTTTCACAATGTTAATGATTTCAAATCAGAAATATAGAAATAGCAAGTTACTTAACTTATGTATCTCTGCAGAAATTTAATGAGAATCAGAATTTCAATAGACACATGAGATATTATGTCATAATTTACGAAACAACAACTGCAACCAAAAATAATTTTGTTTTTATAAAATTTTATATAAATTATTATTATTAACATAGTAATAATGATATAAATTCCTATTTTTTATTTCAGAGTAGCCAATGAATTTATTTGTCCAGTATTTAAATGGGGTTCTGAAGAAGAATGGGAATTTGGACTTCAACGTGTTATAAATTTCCCTCAAAACAGTCCAGAAAGGAAACAAAATGAACGCACATATCTTTTGAAATCCTTAGCTGGTTGTCCAAAAGACACATATAAAATTGAAAGGTATAACCTTCAGTTAATTTGAGAATATATCACTATTACAATTTTTACATTATCTAAGAATTAAATAATAGAATTAAATATAATTTAGTATTTTCTTCATTTTCTTTATAAATGTTGTTAACTATTGTTAAATATATCTAGAATAACCTGCTAAGATAAAACTATATTGAAAGTATACCAAAGGATATAAATTATTCTTTCTAGTGAAACAATAACGATATTATATCTTGTATTTTCCTTTATATTGCAGGTTGTTAAATGTAACAATTCTCGATCAAAATGGAAACTTTACTGATTCAGATATCCAACTAATTTTTGTTACATTAAGTGGTGGAGCAACTGGTTACACAACTCTCCTCAACTTTTTAACTGATAACTGGGATACAGTGAAACAGAGATTTGAAGATAAAAAACACCTTTGGTACCGCATAATAGAATCTGCAACTTCTTCATTTATCTGTCAAAAGGGTTTAGATTTAGTTCACAAATTGTATGAAAGCCATTCAGAAGAATTTCCACCTGATCTTATGAATGAAAAAACTTCCAAAACAGAAATAAAAGAATGGAACGAAAAGAATCTTCCAGTAATTGATGCTTGGCTTATGGAAAATTTGCCAAAAGAGGAACTGAAAATTATTCAAGCTTATGCAGTTACTACTACAACTCCCCTTTCGGTTGAACTTGAATTTTGAATTATAAAAAATTATTAACAATTTAGAAATATGAAAAAGAATTTTAAATTTCTGGAGTGTTTACAACCTATATTTTAAACCAATGACACACTGCTTGGTTTAGACATACAAATAATACCAGAACTTCTAACAATAAAATGAAAGATTATTATATACTAAATATAAATTATGTAAAGTTATTAAGAAAAGTTATTAGATGCAATTTGGATTTAATAATAATTTGTTGTTATAATTTATATTTTCTTTATTTATTAAAGGTACAAAGCTTTTACCTATGTATAATTGCTATTATATATATAATTTAAATTTGAATAAACAATACAATTATGTACATTGTAAATTTATCAAGATCTGATAAAATTTACAAATAATTTTTATCTAAGAAAAGAACTTCATTTATATCATCTTGATTATTGCTTAATCGAATAAAACTTTAACAATAACATAATAAGAATCTTAATTTTAATTTCCGATTTAATAATAAAAAAATCGAAATTTCTATACCTTTATATACATAATATAGAGATTTTGTTATCATATCTTCATCCAATAAATAGTGGTTGGTTTTTATCAAAAGAGTTTTTATAGAAGCAATAAATGAACAACACAATACAATAATATAATACCCGACTAAAACCATCTGTAGCGTAATTGAAACACAAAATAGTATTTCGCAACTGCTAACTCATTAGCACTACTAATTATGAAATAGAAAATTTTCAAAGTCAAACGCGAAAAGTGCTTCGCCATAAAAACTCCCAGAAATAAGTACACAATGCTATTAATTTATACCCTCGTTTTCAGAAATATGCAACACCAATTGCGACGCGTCCAGTGCAACCATGCAGCAGGTTGCTGATGAATGACCATCTCTTGTACAGCTCTTGTAGCTGCACCAGGTGATCCAAAAGCAGGAACAGTCTTCCACAAATCCAGTGGAAAAATTCGGGCATTTTGTAAACGAAACGCTACTTCAAGAAACGCGAACATTCATTATCGCAACACTAACAAAAGAAAAAGTAATTGGAAATCGCGATGAAATAACGTCGCAACACTAATTCTAAAACCAAATTGAATCAAAATTGTCATCAACAATACGAAAGCCACTGTATGGATAAAAAGCTACTTTAAATATTCCAACACTCTAAAGTTAATTGAAAGCAATGATTTTATAATCTAATTTGAAACAAGAGAAAGTAAAATAAATTTTACTATGTATAACTCTAAGATAGCTTCAAAATTCACAATAAAAATTACTAAAGATAATCGCGGTACCATAATTTATAACTCTGAAGCGAACACGATTATCATTTTTTCACAACTCTAATTCAACCCGTAATCGATCTCTCGCAACACTAACAAGAAAATCCGCGATTTGCCCAAAATGCAGATGAACGATGAAGAAGAAAAAAAAGATACAACTACAAATACTAAAAGAGCATAGTGACAAAGTAGTAACGAGAATGATTTCCCATGCTCTGGAATCATTTGAATGATCCAGAGGATGAGAAGCCATTTGTTGTGACCCTCTTCGTGGCAGTTTGCCGGGCCTCTTCGGCTTCTAGCCTTTTCTTTCTTCGAGCGCAATGCCCGCTAAAACTTACGTCTAACTCGAGTCTTTCTAATCGCAAACTAAAAAAAATAACTAACAAAGATGAAATAATAATATAAATCGCGAAGGCTAACC